TGTACAATAAAAATACATATACAAGACACGATCAAGTAAACATAAATGCACCTAAAATATGATCGGCCACACATGTTGTGCGCTTATATACAAGACACGTGGGAATACCCTCGTCAGCAGCGCCCTGATTTTGCAAGCCAAGCATATACGAAGTAGAAAATGTCATACCTCAAATGATTCGACGCCTTTACGGCTTGGCATCTTTTATCATTCCGTTATAATGATTAGTTTATATTTGCTAATTTTATTGAAGGCCGTATGACGCTTTAAGCTTGCTGCAATGTAAACTCACGAAGACGTGTTCCGTCTTTCACACACTCATTCACTTTTTTGTTATTTATCGTTTGTTTTTACTTTTGTTAATTAACATCGCTGATTAGTTCAGAATGACAATAAATGACGTTTAAATCAATCAAATGATTATATTAGTTACTACAGTGGTATTTTAGCGAGTAAATACTTTAGTGTAAATATTTTAGTACATGAAAATATTTATAAATATATAAGTTAATGATTTCTTATTTTCATTAATATAAAATATAATTTTAATAACTTACCCATTCTTGCCCATAACCATCCTGTAAATCTTCAACATCTTTGGAGTCCCAATCTTTCCTTATACCAAAAAGTCTATAAGGAAGAAATCCATGTTCTGCCATTATTGAAAAAAAAGTGAAAAAGCATGCTATTGTTTGAATTACTCCAATTTGAAGATATGCCATTAGGATAAGTCTAGAGTTTAAGAATAACTATTAAAATAAGTATAGAACCATTTTCATACTACTACTTTTTGTTCACCAAGCGATCTTCATGAGGGTCTCGAGGCATGCGACACATAATATCAGATTCGGCTTTTTCATATGCGAGAGATATTGCTGGTAACATATCAGTGCCGATGTCTATACATAGTATAGGTATTGTACCCAGAGCTAAGGGAATGTCGAACATTACGAAGAACAAAAATGGTGTAATCTCTGGAAGATTTGATGTGAGAGTATAAGCAATAGACTTTTTTAAATTGTCAAAAATGAGGCGACCTTCTTCAATAGCAACTATAATAGAGGCAAAGTTATTATCAAGTAAAATCATATCAGCAGCCTGTTTAGAAACATCTGATCCAGCAATTCCCATAGCGACACCAATATCTGCACGTTTTAACGCTGGGGAGTCATTAACACCATCACCTGTTACTGCTACGATTTCACCACGTCTCTGGCAAGCTTCTACAATAATTAATTTTTGCTGGGGTGACGTTCGCGCAAAAACAATTTCTTTGTGATAGCGGATAACAGAATCCAATTCTTCGGCTTTCATTTCACGCAACTCTCCTCCATGGATAACAATAGCAGTGGCTAGACGAGGATCAACTTCATTTATTGGAATACCACGAGTCTTAGCTATATCATCCAGTGTGGGATTAGTTATTATTCCCACACTACGAGCTATAGATTTTGCTGTTATTGGGTGGTCTCCTGTAACCATAATAACACGAACACCTGCTGTGCGACATTTAGCAACTGCATCAGGAACAGCTGCACGGGGTGGATCAATCATTGAAATCAACCCAAGAAATCTAAGATTTTCTAATGGATAATTGGGTGGCTCAGAGCTAAACTCATATGACTGAGAATATATGTCCTTCGGCAAAATTAAATCGGCGAATCCGAACACCCGTTCACCCATTCCACCCATATCCATATATGCCTCTTCGAATTCTTCTCTTAAGGCAGAAGTTAGTAATGTCGTTTCACCACGAATTATAATCATATTGCATCGGTCTAAAATGCGCTCTGGTGCCCCTTTCATTTCTACTATAAAATAGGAATTGCTAGTATTGAAGGAATGAACGGAAACTTGGAATTTATCAGTAGAGTTAAAAGGTATTTCGGTAATTTTATAGTGTGTTCGGCGTACTGTTCCTACGGTACCATAAACTATGTCAGCAAATTTAAGAAGAGCTGCCTCAGAAGCTGTACCGTTAATATCTTTTTGCAAAGTTTTAACATCATCTTGACAACCTTTGAATTCGGCAGAGTTACACAATGCTGCACATAATAAGAGTGCATTGAATGACCTATCCTCTAAATTAAATTCCGATCCCTTAAATGATTCAGTTGTATTAGATTCCACGATCGATCGGTCATACCACAAGTGAGCCACTGTCATACGGTTTTGAGTTAGTGTACCTGTCTTATCAGAACAAATTGTCGACGTTGAACCAAGTGTTTCGACAGCTTCTAAGTTTTTCACAAG